TCCATTTTTTCTTGTATTTGAATGGCTGTTATATTATGTTCTTTCTCTGCCATCTTTATAATCTTGTCATCTTGTTTGGAAATATTACACAAGGCTATTCAGTCTTTCTGAAGTACTTAGGTCCTGATTTTCATGATATCTTTTAACTCAATAAATAGCTGTAGACTTATTACAATATACCTGTTTAGCAATAAATTCAAAACTAAACTTTAGACCAGCTGAGTGTTCACGTAAAAAGACAATTTCATATCATTTCTCTAAAAAAAGTTCCATTTTTTAAGCGAAAATTTGATGATCATCTAAATTTTTTTTTGTATCATTGACACTTATAAATTTACAGGTAATCATGTATTGTATTACATTATATTTCTAGAAAATTTAAGGGGTAGTTATATAATAATTTTAGAAGATCTCAGGTAGTCAGATACTTATAACCGCTACTGTATTCAATAATAAATCTTCTGATTGATACCATTTGTATATTTTGTATAATTTGAATTTTTTCGATTTATTGCAATTTATTTTAATTATATAATGAAATAATATAAGATTATAATATATAAATTTTTATAAAATTACCAAATTTATTATTATGGTATCCATTAATCAGTATCAGTAATATTGCTATCATATTCTTCTAATAAAAGACTTTTGCTTCTTTGGCCTCTATCTTCATCGTCCTTCCCTTCTGATCCTCCTTATTATCATCATCCTTATCATAATCATCCTTATTACCCTCATCTTTATCATCCTCATTATCGTCATTCTCATTATTATCTTCCTTATCTCTATTCTCGTAATCTTTGCAAAAGTAATGACTTAGTGAGCTGTTATATTTTTTATGAGTCCAATTTGAGGTATTCATAGGAGCTTTATCTTCACCGGTTGCAAATCCGTCATTGTTATAAATTCACTTCCTGGTTCTAAGATTTTTTGATATCATAGTATCAATATAATTTCTCAAAAAATCACGTAACTATTTTTTTTAAAAAAAAACTTAAATTAGCATAACATACTGATTAGTAAAAAAAACAAATTGATTAAATAAAATCACGGTAGAAGATTGCTATCGCATGTCTTTGACAATAATTTTTCTTTTATCATTTTTTTCGTCAGTTTCTGATTTTTCTGAACTGTAATAATGGTTGTCGATTTGAATCGGTTAAAGTTTATAGTCGTGAATTTTTTCAATCAAATGATCTTCTAACCTTATTAATTTGTTAATTGTTTTCATATGATGTTCTCGTTTCTAAATAATAAAAAGATTAAAAAAGGTGGAAAATAAACATGATTTTTTATTTACTTTACTATATCTCGTATTTGCATGTTTCCTTCATTTTTCTATATCGTTTCAATTTAGTCCTCTATTTTCTTTGAAATATTCCTCTCTCTGATGATGATGTCTTTCGTGAATCATATACTTTATGACACCATCAGAAACTAAAAATTTTCTCTTAATCGATTTTTGAATAATTGGTATTATATTATTATTAACGGTCTTTCATTGATTTTTAAAAGTTCTATTGATATCCAATCTTTAGTTTTCTGGAAATCTATCGATTATACCAAAGATTTCAGTCTATTTAGATATAAATCAGTTAGCAACAATTCACATAAATAAAAAAAAAATGTGTTATTCTCAAAGCATTATGTAACTCCCTATCCATGTCATCATAATGAAGATATATTAGACTAGGAGAACCTGAAGGTGAAGGTGAAGGTGAAGAAGAGAAAGACCAATTGCTTAATTCTAAATATTCTTTTCATGAATATGATCGTGATCTTTTCGAAGAATCAGCCTGCTGCCTATATCTAACATTTTTCGAAGAACCAGCTTACCCATATCCAATATTTCTTTTATTTGATTTATTTTGAGGTGGAGCATATTAGCTTACTATTTTTTCTTGATAATGAGCATATCGGTTCTTTCAGCTTGCTACTTTTTCTTGTTTTTCTTGATAATTCTTTTGGACCTTCTTTTGTTTGCTTTTGTCTTTTTTTACTAAGATTTCTAGCAATCTTTTAATTTGGTCTACTTGAGTTTGTAAAGAATCTATTATATTTCAAAAAAGAAAGTTAATTTTATTACAAATAAGGTATGTCAAATCGGGATTATTAACAATATATAGCAAATGTACAGTATATAAGTCGTATGTAGTACTTTATGCATTCTATACTAATAAAGCTAATGTTTTTTATAAAAATGCATAACAATATAAATAAATATGCTGATTTGATCATCATTTTTATCCACGTCAATTAGGATTGGCTTCTATTGCTTCTGTTGATAATGATTTTTCTCATCAAGATCAAAATTGTTAAACTCAAGGTCATTAGATCCAGAGTCACTAGATGTAAATATTATTAATCGAAATAAAATAATAAAATAATATATTAAAAATAAACTGATTTAGATCTAAATCTACCATTGTTTTCTATCATTCTTTTATTCTTTCAGAGCATCAGACTTATTTCATTTATTGCTTTTATTGCTATTTCTTGATGGTTCATTATTAGAAGAAGACTCTCTATCCAAAATATAACGTTTAATGGACTTCTTATTACTGGTAATATTAATATTACTATTGGAGAATTATATTAACATTGATAATAGTAAATCAGTGATAAGAAGGTAAAGAAGAAAGAAAAGTGTTTAGAAGAAGAAAGAAAGTGCTTAAAAGAATATTTACAGAAATGTAGCTTATTTATACATTTTGAACGTGTATCAATAAGTATACTTTTGATACTATAGTTAGTATAGTAGTAACGAGTATAACGACTGATACTTTTTTAATACAAAATTTTTTGTAGTATATTGTTGATTAATAAATAATAATTAAAGTTCCTTTCTTGATTGATGATATTAATGCTGATTGACATATTCCATATGATTTTTTTTTCTCACTGATTGATGATATTAATGTTCTTACATTAATTGATGATATTATAATAATTAATTGATATATAAACTCTTGATAACATTAAAAAATTTCACATGTTCAAAAATTTTACAAAATTTAAACTTTATCATTATATATTATTTTTTTATCAAAATAACAAGATTGAAAAAAAATCGTATTAATAAAGATCACACGAAAGACATTAATATTAATCATAGAACAAGGAAATTGGTTGAATATAAATGTATATTGCATTATCATAATAGTAAATAGGTTGATCCCAAAATATTTGAAAGACATCAGCGAGAAATAGATCAGTTTCGTATCATTATTTCTAGATCTCAGGATTCTTCTCAATTAAAGAGTATTAAGAGCAAAACGGTTGATGTAAGAACATCATCATCAAAAAAAAGAAAAAAGCAAAAAGTTAGATCAGAAAAAGTTGGACAAGCTGAAGAAAATCAAACTTTACTAAATAGTTATTCTTTTGATGATAAACCAAATCCAACAACTGATCAGGAGCTGATTGATGTTCTAAAGAAATAAAGCATTATAATAAGTTTTGTAATACGATTTTTGATTAGAATGTTGAACACGAATTAGCTCTAACTGAAAAAGATAGTGAAGAAGATAGTGAAGAAGATTTTGATGTAACGATTGATAAGGATTCTACTGAAGATGACGGTCAGAGCTTGAACGAAGATGAGATTTCATTTAAATGATTTACTATTCCTAATATTGAAGATTTTAAACCAAAAACTGTTAACACTAATAAAATTGATAATTTGTGAATATTATTATGGATTCTCAAATTCCAGTCTAGATTTCGCCTTCAGATACTGCTATTGATTCATTAATTAAATTTATCAAAATAATTCTAATTGATGAAAATTGCAAAAAGTTTAAAGATTTTCCAAAAAGTACTTATACGACGAGAAATTCGTTGAAAATCAGAAAATAAGATAAAACATACGCAGTTTGCTCAAGCTGTAATACATTATATAATGTTATAAGGATTTTGACACAAAATCAAAACAATCAGACATTTACTAAGTTTAAATGCATCCATGTTAAATTTTCAAATCATCCGATGCAGAACCAATGTAAATCATGTGGGTTAGAATTGCTAATAAAGGTCCTGTTACATAATGGATTTATCAGAAGGCCTAAAATGATATTTTTGATGCTATCATTAAAGTTCCAATTAATTACCATATATCAGCATCTAGATTTCAAAGAATCACTTCAAAAGTGGGCAAATTGGGATAGTAAAACTGGTCTATATTCTAATATTTATGATGGAAAAGTATGAAAAACCTTTCTATCTTCTCTTAACAACCCAAATTTTCAATTTTTTACTCCTGAAATAGCTGATTCTAATCTGGGTATAATAATAAATCTCAATTAGTTTCAGCCTTTTAAATCTTCTTTATATAATACAAGAGTAATTTATGGTGTAATTTACAACCTTCCACATGAAGTGAGATTCAAGAAGGAAAATATGCTCACTTTAGGCCTTTTGCCTGGACCTCATGAAGTGAAATTATATAGGATTAATCATTATCTTAATCCTATTGTTAGTGAATTGCTAGAATTTTGAAACAGATATGATTTATCAATTTTAACTAAGTTTCCTAATAGAAAGAAAATAAAACTGTCAGTTATTTGCATCTCAAATGATATACTGATAGCTAGAAAATTGTGCAGGCACATATTAGCACTGGCTGCATGTTATAAATGCTATAAGACTGCTAATGTTGATAGAAGGAAGTTTAATTTTGGTGGATTTGTAGATATGAATATTTGGTTCATATAAAAAGATCTCAATGAATATTAGAGGAATGTTGAAAATTGGCAAAAGTACAAATCAGAAGACGAAAGAAAACATCATATTTCAACCACATTAGTTCAATAATCAGAAATGCTGAATTTTCCTTATTTTAACCCAATAACAAATCTTGTTGTCGATTCAATGCATTGCCTTTTCCTTAGAATTACGCATTGAATTGTAAAAAGATTATGGATTAATGGAGATAAAATTAGTAAAGCTGACCTTGAACTAATGGAGAAATAAGCAAAGACCATGAAATTACCTTCTGATTTAGACTGGATTTTGTATAAAATTGCGACTGAAGAAGGTTTTTCTGGCTTTACAGCTGATCAATGAAAAAACTTTATTTTAATATATGCGATTCCATTGATATGGGATCTTTTGGATGCTTTGGATCAGAAAATTTTGAACAATTTTGTTAGAGCTTGTACATTGCTTGTATGTCGAACAATTGATAATGAAGCATTAAATGAAGCTCATTCCTGATTATTGACCATTGCTCTTTTGATTGAAGAAAATTATGGACTAGAGGCAATAACACTAAACATCTATCTTTCTCTCTATTTAGCCGAATGCTGCTAAGATTATGGACCTTTATACTCTTTTTGGTATTATTCATTCAAAAGAATGAATGGAGTTTTAGGTGAGATTTTATAATGATTAATATTATATATTAAATAATGAAATAATCAATACCCAATATTATTTACAGATTTCTTATCGAATAGCAGGCGACAAATCGAATCAGAATTGATGCGTATCATTATGTAGAACTAGAGATTAGACAATTTAATTTATAATCAACCAGATAATCCAAAGCTAACTGAAGCACTTGAATTAGTGAAATCTCGGTCAACAGCCAGAAGTTTAGCCTTATATGATGATTTGATTTTATCAAATTATACCAGTTCATGCAAATATTCAGACATAATTTTGATGATACCATTACTAGCAATGGCCATTTCCTGGAGAAATACTCCAAAAGAAAGATAATGTATCTCTACCGAATAATATTTATGAACTATTAGTTCAATATTATAATGCTGCATATAATTAGAAGTTCGTAACAATTACCAATGCAGCTTCTGATAGACAAATACTAGAAGATTATATTATTGTTTTGCTAAATGTGGATCAGTATAAGTGCGTTCAGATTGAAACTAAAATTTTTGGATCAATAATCGCACCTTGATATTTAAAGAATTCACATATATTAGCAAAATTTATACAAGACAATGAAACAACAGATACGTTTTCTGATAAAGTACAGTTTTATTTTATGCATACTATTGAACTTCCAATTGACGCAAAGATGCACTACCTAGCTTTGTCAAATAGTATTTATTGATACCTGACCAACAAACAAGATTTTATTGCGAAAACTAAAGATAATGATGATGAATCGTATAATAATATCAAACTTTAGAAGTATCAATACTATAATATTAATAGAGATAGCATTATTCCTGTTCATAACATATATAGTCAATTTGTGTCGAGTGAATTTATAGTGGGTATATGAAAATTGAAAAAATATATGACGGTCATACCTATTAATAGATAATTTCACTTGTAATAAAGTTAATCGGTAAACTTAATATTCTTTTTATTTAATCGATCAGTAAATTTATTATATGTTTGAATTTTTAAAAGCTCTTGTAGTAATAAAAAACAGTTTGTAAATTTATCTAACATTTGTAATTATTACCTGATTGATCATCATTGAACATATTATTTAAATTTTTAAAAAAGTGCTTAATCGAAATGATACTTGATTAAACTATATAGTATAGATCAAAACAATAGTTTTCAATCAGGATAGTACTTAATTAATATCTAATTTGAATATATACTGAATTCTAACTATTAAACAACTCAAATTTCTGATCAAAAAAAGTGACTAATCAGGAAGATACCCGATTGATTAGCATTCGACCTGTGTTTGTTTTTTTAAATATTATGTAATATTAATTTTCAAATTATGATTTTAACAAATTGATATTTTTTATTATAAGATCTGATCCTTTTAATACTGAGTTTCAATAAATTAATTTGTTGAGTTTATCAATTTTAAGATTTTCCATAATTCAAACATTATATTTTGTGTTCTCATAATTTATTTAATATTATCTTCAAAAATAAGAAATAATCGCTTTATTACAGTATAATAATACTTTAATAACTTTGAATTTTTTTGAAAAATATTTTCTTTGTTAATTATTTTTTCTATATAATAAAAATAGATTAATAATTCCTTTCTTTTTTCATAATTATTTGTTGTCATATGGGGGCGATTAATAGAAAAGGTGGAAATCTACAAATTTTGAGTAATTTTAGTTATTAAGCTAGTTTTATTCACATGACCATGATCAGCAGAGTGAACCAA